TCTGTTTGGAGATCACAGCAGAGAATGTTTCCTTGAAATTGTATTAGCTCAGATCCAATTTTAGGGTAACTTACAGCTAGGAAAGGCTTGCATGTCTTTAATAACAACCACGATCTCTTTAATGTTTAATACATCAGAAATTAGAGCAAAAAAAGTTTTGCTTTTGATTTGAAATGAGACAGCTGGAACCAAATGAAATCTGAAGCTCCTCGAATCAGCCAAGGCTTGGGCTTTGTCCTGGAGGGCGCTGTGACACCCAGGTGACCTGGCAGCCAGCAAAGGGAGAGGCTGCCCTGAGATTTTTGGATAAAAATGCGGATTGTGGAGATGGCATCATGAGAGATCACCCAAAGCTCAGGTTAACACAGCAGCCTCACCCTAAAACAAGCTGTAAGTAGCTGAAACGCCTCTGGTTAGACGGGCTGTGCTGGAGTCCAGATTTGGAGCTGGGGATTCTCACAGGGCTGTATCAAATGCCACTGCCAGTGTGGTGGCTTCACTGTCAGACCTCCTGGCAATCACTCCCTTTGCTGCTTTCACTTTTCTGATGGCATTGCCATTGACTGTTGCCTCTGTCCTGGCTGGAAACAATTTTCTGCAGCAGCAATTTGATTTCCATGCTCAGCCATCACTAGGTGTAATTATCACCACCGTAGGAGCACCCTTGGTGCAAGGAGGATTTATTAGACATGATTAATAAGCACAAATAGTTTATCTGGTGTCACCTGGTATCCCATGTCTCTCAGAACTCACCCTTGTGCACCAAGAGTTGCAAATGTCCTTCAATGCCTGTTTAAATACACAGCAGCAGTAACCCAGGGCTGATAATAATAGTCCTGAACCGAGCACTAAACCAGGGGAAAGCTGGTTCTAGCTGAGTGTGGTGTCGTATTTTTGATGCAGGAAGGGAGAATAATTCCTGTTGGGTATGCACATGAATGCAGATGTGATTTGGATGGCAGGAACAGGACGTTTAGAAATGGAAATCTCATTATCCTGACAGTAATTCAGGACTATTACAGGGAAGCTCAGGGTCTTTAATCAGTAACACTGTATTAGCATAACAGAGTTAATGGTGAGAAAGTAAAAGATACTGATTAAAGAACATTTTTCTCCACCTACTGATAGATCTGCCACCTTCTGTATCCAAACATCAGTGGGCCAAATCCTGCCTTTGATTTGCTGAACTCTTTTCCCTGAGCCAAGGGGAGCATAGGTGGGTGTGCCTCCTGCCCTAATCTGATATAGATATTTGTGGTGTCTGTTACCTTGGAAAGGTTCTTCTCTGGCTTCTTTCAAACCCCTCTGATGCTGAGGTGACAAGAGCTTTATTATCTCCATGCCCTGGGGGCTGTTCTAGTGTAGTTCCCATAGGAATTGGGCATGGGGAGTCAGATGTGGAGGCCCATGTGGAGCACAGAGCTGCTGCAGCAGGATTCTCCTGGTGCCACTGGGCTTCTCGCAGCTTCTCTGGGTGTTTAACAACCCATGGTTATCTCCAGCTAAAATAAAAAAAAAAGAACATGCTCTAAGGCCTTGGAGGAATTAGCTGGCTTCCCTGAGTGAGGGGAAGTGCTGACTTTCTGTGTCAGTTCAAAGTTATTCCCGGGGATGAATTAGCTCTTGTTCCGACCACATGCGCTGGAATGGGCTCCCTGACTCTGCTGCTGCCTCAGCAGCCAAATGCCAACGTGCATCAGGAGCCAGAAAGCCTCCAAGAGGAGATCTCCGACCCTGGCTGGTGGGATCAAGCTTTTGTGAAGTGTGTTTTCCTTGTGCAAAATATCTGGAGGCTTAAAATCATAACGGTGAGATAGTTTCAAATGCAACCAGCATTTCTTCTGGTTAAATAAACTCTGAGGAGCGCCCTTGTTCATTAGCAGAAAGATTTATAATGACTACAGAAGTTGCAAAAGGATATTTAGGCTGCCATCAGCAGCTTTGGTAGGACCAGAAAAGGCAGGGCAGGATCTTTAAAAACACAGGCCATTAAACACATAGACCACAAGTGTTTTGTTCTGTGTCTATTTAAGTCAGAGTAAAAATACACCAACAGAGGGAACAGATTGGCTTTTAAAATATTCCATGAGATAAACAACAGCTTTGGCTAAGTCAAACCAAATAAATTTTACCTAGAAGTTTAAGTAGTCTTGGAGGTCAGGGGAAGTGTTAAGGGTGATACAAACTTGTTCTACAAAAATACACATTAGTTACATAGAATCACAGAATGGTTTAGGTTGGAAGGGACCTTGAAGCTCATCTCATTCTACCCCTGCCATGGGCGGGGACACCTTCCACTGTCCCAGGCTGCTCCAAGCTCTGTCCAGCCTGGCCTTGGACACTTCCAGGGATCCAGGGGCAGCCACAGCTGCTCTGGGCACCCTGTGCCAGGGCCTGCCCACCCTCCCAGGGAAGGATTTCCTCCTAATAGCTGATCTACACCTACTCCCCCTTGTCCTGTTACTCCATGGTTTGTAGTCAGAGGATCTGCTTCAACTCTGAAGTTTTTCTCAGGCTGAAATTATAGAGAGGCTAAACTAGAGGCTTTATGAAAGGAACCAACTGCAACCTCTTAGTGGAAAAGGGAGTATTTTACTGTTAGTTAGAAGAGCCAAGTGTCACCTCTTTTTTATTTTAATCTTATTCCAGCCCCGTGATTTCCCAAAAATAGACTCACTCACCAAGAACGTCACATTCATCTTGGTTCAGCTAATGATATTTATACTTTTATATTGGATGGGATTAATTTTCCTATCCTGTTAATGCAGCATGTGATCATTAAATACCTTTACTGCACGCATAGACATATACTTTCTGTGTCAGAAAGGAAAGCAACTGGCATTTTAAATTACTGAGTGATAATTGTAGGTGGCTGTTTTCCATAGTGCTTAAGGAATTCCTTTCATTATGATAAATGGGTGTAAGGCTCCCTTTTTACACAGAATCAGTTCACAAGTGAATTTATTCGACAGTCACGGGTTGTGGGTCTACTGAAGAACATTTCCCACAAAGGTGCCTGTGTTAATGTAGTGAACATGTGTGACAGCACCTTATGGAGGAGAGGCACAGAGACTTCCCAAATGATGGGTTTGGGTACTAACTCCTTGTACAACTAATGCAGCAGCTCACATCCTGCCAAATTTCACTGAGCCTTATTTCACATCCACAGCTCAAGAAGTGCAGGGAGTGCCTAAGCAAAAAGAGATCAGTGGCAAGCACAGTAAATTATTATCCTGGCATTTTAAGTAAAAGGTTTTACAAAATCAATTCGCAGCCGTGCGCCATTAACGTATCAACTGCAAAAGTGAATTCCAGCATAGGAAATCTGCCAAAAAGAGGAGATTTTTATCCTGACAGGAGCAAAAGAAACAGACATTCAATCAGGGTAGATGTCAGTAAAGCCAAGAGAAATAAGAACCTCATTCTACACAGCACTGTTTCCCCAGACATAAAAAAGGTGATTAAAAAAGAGAGCCTCTAAAGCTTGAGTTCACAGCTCCTGAGTGGACCAGCCCAGTGCCTTCAACAAAACCACCACAGCCCCTGTAACCTCCCACAGAAAGCAAGAAGAAAACTGCTGGGGTTTGACCATGTTATATCAGGCAGCACCTCCCACGTGGAGCTTGTTTCTGTGCACAGAGGTTTGTTTCCTCAGCCACAACAACACAGAAAACTTGCCTGGGTCGCTATTTTTCCTGTCAAACAGGAATTTGAGCAATACTTTCCCCTGTTTTGCTTCAAAGGAAGCTTTCCCACCTCTTCCATTCAGCGTTGCACTGGTCACTCATTCATGGGCTGTTTCAGGGAGATTCCTAAACCCTCCCAGTGTCTGTCCCAGGGCTGCTGGCTTAGTGGTTATGGTGGTGTTCCATCAAAGTTTGGAGACCTTGGAGGCATTTTCCAACCATAATGATTCTGTGACTGTGTGATTCCATAGAAGGTGTGCTACCCCACATCCACCCTGAACCCCCCAGCTGCAGTCTGGGGGTCAGGGGCCATCGGTCCATCGCTGTTGCTACCAGGAAAGGTTTGGCTTTGACCAGTCTGTCACCAAAGACCTGCAAACACCCTGAAGAGGGGTAGAACATCCCATTCATTGTTAAATTTGAGTTTGAGTGGATTCTCCATATACACATAAAGAAAATAAGATGATTTTCACAGCTTTCTGCTTTCAGCACAGGACTCAAAGTCATTCCCAAAGCAGGACATGATAGCACCATTTCTCCACTCCCCCTATGTCCAGGTCCATGCCCCAAGCACTGCTGCACTGGGGCAGCCCTTTCCAATCTTGTGTAAAGAAGAGTAAATGACTTTACCTTAATGAATGGTAAACCCAGCCCACAACTCCCTTTTCCTTTATCCACGCTCACAGTGTTACTGACACACGCTGATTCAGAGGGGCAAGCAGACAAAAGTTTTTAATTTGTTACCCCAGTCCTCAATGGGGATGTTAAGGATTTTCCAGACAAAAGACTAAGACTCAGCTAGCCCCAGCTGAATGCCTCTTTCTGTTCATTTCCCTTTTGTGGTGTAACTGCTAACAGTGCTAAAAGAAAGAGCCCAATGACTGACGTGGTGCTTCATTCCCATTATTGAAATCTGTGCTCTGAAACACAGGATCAGCTGAGCCCTGGGCAGAGCTGGGAGCAAAACAACATATTTCCTCTGCAAAGCTCTGTTTGCCACCAGCCTGGCTTTGGGTGGGGCAAAACCTTTCCAAAAGTATAAATGCATGATATGTTTTGTTTGCAATCCACTCTGTCTGGGCAACATAGAAACTGTGCAATATGTAAGAGCCAAAACCAAGCAGAGTGTGAGTGCAGAGAGCAAATTTCAGTGTGAGAGTTACCAAAATGTACCCTCAGTAACTTCACAGGCAGCACCAGGCTGGCTGGGAGTGTGGATGTGCTGGAGGGCAGGAAGCTCTGCAGAGGCATCAGGACAGGCTGGATCCATGGGCTGAGGTTCAGCAAGGCCAAGTGCTGGGTCCTGCCCTGGGGTCACCCCAAGCCCTGCAGCTCCAGGCTGGGGCAGAGGGGCTGGAAAGGGCCCGTCAGGAGAGGCCCTGGGGGTGCTGTGCCAGCGGCTGGACAGGAGCACAGGGGTGCCCAGGGGTTCCTGGGCTGGCCCTGCTGAGGGACCTCCAGGGCTGGGTCCAGTTCTGGGCCCTGAGAGCCCTGGAGTGTGTCCAGGGAAGGGAACGGAGCTGGGGAAGGGGCTGGAGCCCCAGGAGGGGCTGAGGGAGCTGGGAAAGGGGCTCAGCCTGGAGCAAAGGAGGCTCAGGGGAACCTTCTGGCTCTGCACAACTCCCTGACAGGAGGGGACAGCCAGGGGGGGTCGGGCTCTGCTGCCAGGGAACAGGGACAGGACAAGGGGAAATGGCCTCAAGCTGTGCCAGGGGAGGCTCAGCTTGGACACCAGGAGGAATTTCTCCATGGCAAGGGAGCTCAGGCCTTGGCAGGGGCTGCCCAGG